GCATTATAAGCCATAATGTTTCTAATACACTTTTAATCAGGCTATACCTTCTCTAACTTCCTCTCCATAAATCAGTTGACACTATTCAATTATGTTAATTTGGCCTATATGATACTATACGATGAAGTTATAACATTTTCTATAAAACTAAATTATGGCCATACATAGCTGGCCATTTATGGTGATATTCATCTATGGTAAATAAAACACAGGTCTGTGTGGTGAGGTACCTCAATCCTTAATGCCTCTCTAATAGTGAGAATGAGAGCAAGGGCAGGAAGATGTTACTCTGATTCTCTCCCCACGACATTTTGGTGCTGGAAGCTGACATTACCTTTTTTCCTATTTCTATCACCCTGCTCTTCCTTCTTCTACAACTCAATTTGACTTTACCACCCTCCTTTATATACGCCCACATATTGTTTCTTCATTTATTCCATGTACACTCTGCCCTCCTCATTCTCTCTTTTATTCATTTTATCTTCCCTCTTTCCTGATTTTCCTCAGATCTTAGAGTATCTTAAAATGGGAATAATTCAGATCCTTTAGTGGTACTCTCAATATAATAGACTCAACTGCTGACCCCTGATTAGATATACAACTTATCACCATTTTACTTCTCCTTTACTTATTATACATTTAACAGAACATTTTCTTTAGCTATTTGAATATATTAGTGCTCATATTTTTTTAATTCAATCAAATGACTTTTTAAATAAAATAGTATTCTTACCTTCTTTTACATTGACTATACTTTGTTTTTTGTTTTCTTTTGTTTTTCCATTGGCAGGTCCAGGTAAAGGCTCTGACACTTTCTCAAGGACACACTGCTGAGGTAATATCAAGCATGAATTTCCGTTCAAAAAATTATAATGAGTTGCATAAAGACTTTCTTATCAATTTTTTTTTCTTTTTTTGAAACAGGGTCTCTGTCACCAAGGGCTGGAATGTAGTGGCATGATTATGGCTCACTGCAATCTCAACCACCAACCTCAAGCAATCTTCCCACCTCAACTTCCTGAGTAGCTGAAACTACAGCTGTGTACCATCATGCTAGGCTACTTTTTTATTGTTATTTTTGTAGAGACAAGGTCTCACTATATTGCCCAGGCTGGCCACAAACTCCTGGTGTTGTGGGTTTTTTTTTTTTTTGGAGAC